CCGCCCCCCCCCCCCCCCCCCCCCCCGCCAGGACCTGAAGAAGTATGGGGCCACCACCGTGGTGCGCGTGTGCGAAGTGACCTACGACAAGGCCCCGCTGGAGGAGGACGGCATCACCGTCGTGGTGAGGCTGCCGCGCGGGGCGGGGCTGCAGGGGGCTGGGGCCCCGCGCCGGGAAGCAGGCACGCGCGGCCTCTCCGCGCGCCCCCTGCCGCGCCCCCCTCGCCGTGTTCGTGCCCAGGCCTCACCTCTAAGGGTCTGGGCTGCCTCAGGGGCGCACCTCTGTCTCCCTGCCTGGCGTTTGGGGCTCTGTCGCCGGGCAGCGGGTGCCTCCGCGAGGGTGGGCTGGGGGCACCTGGCAGGCCCCTGGGGAGGCTCTACTGAGGCCGTGGGGAGGGACCTTGGGGGCTGTTTCCTTGGTCCCCGGTGCTGGGGATCAGCATCCAGGCGGCAGGCCCTGTGGGATGGGCCACGGGTTTCCCGGTGCCGGTGGCTCGACCAGAGCCCTGGGGCCAGCCCTCTGGGGAGGACGCTGAGCCAGGCGACCGTGGTGAGAGTGGTGGAAGGGTCGTGAGAGTGGTGGAAGGGTCGGAGCCTTGGGGTCAGACGGGCCTGCCTGAGTCCCGCCTCTGCCCCTTCCCCGCTGAGTGACCCCATTTCCTCACCTGTAGAGCGTGGGTGCTTGAAAGGCACCAGGTGAACGCTGTAAAGCGGCCCGTGGCACAGGGAGCCCGCAGCCTTTCGCACCCCTCTCACTGCAGCAGGAAGGATCTGAGTTAGACTTACAGCAGCCAGGCAGACCGGTTTCCTCCAGGGGTTGCTGAATCTGGAGTCTGGCAACAGGATTAGGTGACCCGGGGGCCTAGCCTTGGTGGGCACATGTGGATGCACTCAACGGCAGTAAGTCTGCTCCACTGGGACTTAAGTGCTTCCATCCTCACTGGGCCCGGCCTGCTCTGTGCAGCTGTGCTGGGGGCTGGGGACACAGACAGGCACACGTCACCACGTTTGTGGGCCAGACCCCTTGGGCCTCCTGACCCAGAACCTCTCAGGCTGGGTGAGGGTCAGGCTTTGGCCGCAGAATCGCAGTGTGGGCTGATGGGGAGCGGGGTAGGGCTCCCAGGGCTCCTCGAAGAAAAGAGCAGGGTGTTCCGGGGAGGCTTTCTGGAGGATAGGGCAGCTGAGGGAGCGGAGAGGATGAAGAGGAGCCTCTCGGGGGGGAGCTCCCTGGCCCGGTGCGCTGACCCTCAGCTCGTGGGCTCCCGACATCCTCTGTGCTTCCCGAGAGCCCGTGGGCAGGCCGGCCTGTGCCCCTCACCCCACCTTCCGGTGCGGAGGGCCCTCACGGGCTGCTTCCTTCCGCAGGACTGGCCGTTTGACGACGGGGCGCCTCCACCCGGCAGAGTGGTGGAGGACTGGCTGAGGTTGCTGAAGACCAAGTTCTGTGACGACCCCGGCAGCTGCGTGGCTGTGCACTGCGTGGCCGGCCTGGGACGGTGAGCTGGTGGGGCAGGGCAGCGGGCTTGAACTCGGGGACCCTGTGGCCTAGCTCACTCTCGGATGTGGGTGCTGAGCCCACATCACACATGACCTCCTTCCTTGGGAGTTCCCAGCCCTGGGCGGGGAGGAAGTCCTTCCCAGAGTCTGACCCTGCTCCCTCCTGCTGTGGTTGGGACTGTGCACTTGAGCAGGAAGGAGCTGCCAGCTCCGCCCCTCTCCAGGCACAAAGGCCCTGCCCCCAGCAAATAGCGTGGGTTTCACTGAAGGACCCAGGCGGTGGAATCCCCTTTTGCAGAGGGACTGGCTAAGTGGGGTTGATAGCCAAGAGTCAATCTCTTATCCACAACCAGACCTAAGCCCAGCGCTTAACTCTCCCTCCTTCAACCCTCCCACCAACATATTTACACAGCAGGGTCGGGAGGAGCCTGTGCCCTCCACAGGGCAGGGCGGGGCACTGGGGGAGTCTGGGCAGCCCTCAGGCCCCAAGGGGGAAGGCATTGCTCTGTGTCTTCAGTAGGCGGCCTGTCGGGGAAGGGCTTGGGAGTAGAGGCTCCGATGATTTCGTTCTGCCGTCCCGCTAGGGCTCCGGTCCTCGTGGCTCTGGCCCTCATCGAGAGTGGGATGAAGTATGAGGACGCCATCCAGTTCATCCGACAGTGAGTGGCCGGTGGGGGAGGGCGGTGGTGAGCGCTCAGGGGTCTGGCTTGAGGGGCGCTTATCCTGTGCTCCCCACCCCGCAGGGGCCCAGTGCCCTGCCAGTGGGCACTCCTGACCCCTGGCCCCGGGGTGTCCTCTGAGGCATCCCCCGGTCCAGTGCAGCCTCCTTTTGTGGTACCGTCGTGCCGCTCAGGCCGCCTGGCCCTGACGGAGGACTGTGTGGGGCGTCTGAGTGTGGCTTCTCCCGTGGCTGGGAGGTATGAGTGAGGAGAGGCTCCAGTGAGGGCCTGGCTGGTCCCACCTCCGTGGCCCGCAGCTCCCTCAGCCTGGGGCACAGGGCAGTCAAGCCAGGCTGGGCTGTGTTGAGTAACGAGCAGGCCCACGTAGGGAGTTGGGGCAAACAACTCTTTAAGCCTCCAGCGCTCCTGATGAGGGGTGTCATTCTCCTTACCTGGGAGAGGAAGGACCCCCAGAAGCCATCCAGCCCAGCCCCTCTGTGAAAGGAGCCTCCTGTGGCACCTGCCCACCGTCCCCAACACCCCAGGGACGACTGACGCATGGCGGTCTTTCAGAGCTGCCCTTCCGAAGCCCTGGCCCCTGGGGCCTCTGCCCCAGCTTCTCAGCCCCCACGGGGGTCTCCCCCCTCGCCCTCCTCGGGTCGGGGGCTCCTGTCTCTACCACTGGTCCCGGGAAAAGAGCCCTGGTGGTGCAGGGTCTTGGGGTGTCAGCAGGGACAGTGGGGCGGATGGCAGAGGACCTGGGCCTGCACTGGGCCCGCCCCCGCCCCCAGCCCAGCCGCCGCCATGTGCGTGCGTGCGTGCGTGCGTGCGTGCGTGTGTGTGTGTGTGTGTGGGTGAGAGACAGCAGAGGACCTGGGCCTGCACTGGGCCCGCCCCTGCCCCCAGCCCAGCCGCTGTGTGCTTGCGTGCGTGCGTGTGTGTGTGTGTGAGAGACAGAGACACGCACACACTCTGTGTCTGTGTGTGTTCTTGTGCTACTCCCCCAGTGGCGTCTCCCAGGGCACAGCCACCTTTCTCCCAGAGGCAGGCTTGTTCACCAGCCAGGCAGCCAGGCCTGCGTGCACCCGTGGGAGCTCAGGCCTCCTCGGGAGCCCGGCACTCCTTCATACACGTGCGCACACTCGCACACACAGGCACACGCTGTTTCTCTCCGTGAGCCTGTGTGCCGCTCTGCACCTTGGTGCAGATCCAAGGGGCAGCAGGGCGAGGGCCGGGCCTTCACCAGAGCCCTTCCTGCACCCACCTCGTTGGTGGTTCCCCAGCTTGAGGCTCGAGGCCCGTGATTGGGGGCTGGGCCCAACCCGGTGACTCAGAGAAGCACAGGCTTGAACCTCCCCCGCTCACGTTTCCTTGGCCAGAGCAAGTCTGTGGCTGTGTCTGAGGTCACGGGCCGGTGGGGACAGATGGCCTCCAGTAGTGCCCAGTGGGCAGCCCTAGGTGCCCTCACACCTGGGCACCTGAGGTCCACCTCCCCGCTCCTGTACTCCCCCTCCCAGACAGCCGGGATGCCCAGGCTCCACCCCTGCGGCCTCTGGGGCCCCAGGGCCTGGGGGTGAGGTGGTACCCACGTAGACACGGGGACCTTGTGGGTGGGGGTCAGGGAGCCAGCCTGGAGGAGGTGGTAGCCAAGTGAGTCGAAGGCCAGCAGCGGTGACTGCAGGTAATGGGGGAAGGGTGATTCTGGCCACAGGAGCAGCCCGGGGAAAGGCCTAGAGGCAGGACGGGCTCTGCTGGCTACAGGACCCGCTCCAGCCCCACTGGACTCTGGTGCCTCGAGGCCCTGGGGCAGGGCAGGCAGCCGAGCCGGGGTCCCGCCTGATCCCCAACCCCCCGCGCCCCCGTTCCTTCTGCCCAGGAAGCGGCGTGGAGCCATCAACAGCAAACAGCTTACCTACCTGGAAAAATACCGGCCTAAGCAGAGACTGCGGTTCAAGGACCCACACGCGCACAAGACCAAGTGCTGTGTCATGTAGCTCAGGACCTTGGCGGCCCTGGCCTCGGGCTCAGCGGGGCTCCATCTCCCTCCTCTCCAGACGCCTCAGCACACCCGCCACCAGCGGTCTGGCCTGCCCCACGCGCCCTTTGCTGTCTCCTGTCACCGTCCCCCTGCGTCTCTGTCCACACGCGTGTGCAGGTGTGTGTGTGTGTGCTCGCACCACTGTCTGGTCCATCCTTCCTTCTGTCTACATGCCCGCGTCTGTCTCTTCCTCTGTGCCCCGTGTGTCTCTGTCTGCGCCCTCGGCTCCTTCTGTCCCTCTGAGGCTTAATTCCCCCTAATCTTCCCCTCACCCCGCGTCCCTGGCTCTCCTGCCAGTGCCCAGCCCCTGCCCCTGGGCAGCTTTCCTCTTTGGCCCGTTGGTTTGGGGGCTGGTGTATTTTTTAACCACTGGGCCCGGCCCCTCCTCTGCAGCCCCTCACCCTGACCTGTTCTTGGCACCTTAAATTATTTGGTCTGGGGCGGTCAGATGTTCTGGACACTCGAAGGCAATAAAACCGGACCCTGTGGCTGTGTGTGCTTGGAGAGTGGGGTGGGGGCCAGGCGGCCTCGAGTGGGCAGGCGGGGCCCCGGGAGGCCCCTGAACAGGACGGGGCCGGCAGCCCCTCCGGCCGGCTGTGCTGGGGCGCCCCCTGGCGTCCACGCCGGGTCCCTGCGCTCCCTGGCTTAGGGGCAGGGGCCATCCCAGATAGACCAGAGCAAGGGCTGTGGCCTGAGCGGGCTTGCTCCTGTGCAGGACAGGGTGGGTCATTTGGTAATTTCTCGGGGCTTGTGTCCAGTGGGATGGCTGCGCTGCCCCCACCAGGTGTCCTTAGAGGCCCAGAGCGGGGAGCGGGTGATGGTGGCCGACTGGGCCTGCCGTGATAGGTCAGAGTGTGTGTGGGAGGGGCAGGGTCTGCCTGGGGGCATGGGTTGCCCTGCTCCCAGCCTCCCCATGTGCAGCTCTCAGCTCTCGCAGAGCTGGGGGCCGGCCCCTCCCTGGGTCGGGTGGGCTGCACCTTCCCCAGGTGGGAGGGTGGCCCACCCACCAGGTCACAGGCCCTGTCTCCCCGCCCCTGGTCTGCCTTGGCTGGCCTGGCAGTGAACTGTTGCTGCTGGTACGGTTAATGAGGCACCTCCCATGAGCCCGGGTCTAGAGCCCCCCGCCGTGCTGGCCAGGACTGGGCTCCCACCACTTCAGACTTCTCCTGTCTCAGTTCCCCTGGGGGCTTGCCCGGTCACCATTGGCTCCAGGAGCCTGTTAGGTCCAGGCTCACCCAGCTCTAAGCTTTTACTAGACCAGACTTCCCAGAGGGAGGGTGAACTGGGGCTGGGTGGAGGGATGTGCGGGAGGCCTGCCTGCCCACTGCCCGGAGGTGAAACCAGGGAAGTCCCCCCGTTTCAGGAGAGATGGCACTCTCGCCCACCAGCTGGAGCGAGGGGACCCTCCCCCTCAGGCTTCTTGGTCCTGAAGGAGTGCACCCCTCCCCCCCAGGCAGGGGGTTGCAGCGGAGGAGAGATGGGGGGGCACCCGCGGAGGTCCGTGGACAAGATGGAGAGTCGTGAAAAGGCAAACCCACCCAAGCTCCTCCTCAGGTGCCCTGTTCAGAGATGCACAGACGGGGAGACGGGGCTCCCAGGTGGAGAGGGGCCGCCAGCTCTACCAAGAGTTATTTCCTCCTTTCCCCAAACACACCCAAGAACACAAGTGAATCTGGGGCGTGTCCATGAAGTTGCTGTATTTTTTCAACCCACCATCCAGGTTTTGGGGTCTCCTGGGTGCCAGCCCTGTGCAGCCCCATCCCTGCCCCGAGGGGCGCACAGTCTAAGGGGGGTGGTGAGCCGGCTAGGGGGGTGCCCGGCCTCAGGAGGGGCTGACGAGGGGCAGGGGGCCTTGTTTGGCAGGCCCTCGAGGGATGGGGCTTGTGGAGGTGTCCAGGCTGGGGATGTGGACAAGGCGCTCTGGGTGGAAGCTCTGTCTGGGCGGAGTGGGGAGGGTCAGGGAGGGCGCAGGGGGCGGGG